CGTGTCTGTCTCTCAGAGAAACCTACGGTCATTGGCCCCATAGAACTGTTTGCCTCTCTGTGGCACAATTGCTATTTTAGTATTCTTGGGTATTTGTATCTGTTCCCTCATTACATTCCATGCCCCATTAGGACATAGATGTTGTACTGCAAGAGCTGGGTATAGTATCTAATATATGCAGACTCTCTGTGTATTTACTGAATTAACAGATAAATTACCTGAAATATCTATTATATTTGACAGATGGTGACCATTGATGATGGAGAACAATTTCCAGAGAATGGTAGGCATGAAAATTGATGTAGTGAGTTAAGAATAGGTTAGGGGGCCTGAGGAGACAGCTCAGTCAGTAGAGTCCACGAGGACCAAGTGCGTCCTTAGAACCCACGTTAAGAAAGTGGAATATGGTAGTGTGTGCTTGTGCTCCCAGCACGGAGAGGGTAGAGACAAATAGATCTCTGGAGCTTTATGGTGAGCCAGCCTATCCTAGCCTGGCTCAAGAAACAACGTGGAGTACTTGTGGTGCACACCTTTAATCCCAGCACTCAGGAGGCAGCTCTGAGTTCAAGGCCAGCCTGGTCTGTATGAGTTCCAGCCCACTCCATAGTGAGTGAGACTCTGTCTTAAATAAAACAAAACAAAGAATCCAAGGTGGTTGGCTCCCAGGAATGAGGCCTGACGTTGAACTCTGACATCCAAGTGCACACGCCCACACATAAGCGTACAGGTAAAAAGAGGTGGCTAGGAGATAGAGTATAAACAACAAGCAAGTCTTTGAAGTTTCTGCAATGAGACAGGAGTGGGGAGGTAAGGGCACTCATTCTGGGAAGAGACAAGTGGGTTGTTGATGTAACTGTACTATAGAATATAGGTCATGCTTCTTGAGGGAAGCAAAGGATGCAGAAGTCAGGGGGACTGACAGAAAACATAGGCAGGAGTGAGATTCCCAGCCCCAAGAGGAGAGGGTGAAAAGGGAGGGAGGAGGAGCGTTGAGATGAGTTAAAGGGACTCATGCCCAAGAAGACCCCTGACTCAGCTGAGAAGCGAAGTCACAGGATGGGGAAGCAGAAGGAGACGGGGCTCAAAGTGGTAAAATATTATTGAATTGTCTCTGTGGGGAAGGGGAGACAGCTGACCGGCGATGTAAAAGGATTGTTTAGTAGTGCTCAGAGTGGAAACAGGATTTTTATTGGCACGCGTCTGCGTGGTTTTGTGATTTCCCCAGCTGTGCTTGGTTGTCCATATGTCTGAGACCAAAAGGTGGGCAGTCAGGCTGTGGAGAAGGCAGAGAGGGTAAAGAAATTGAGTATGTTGGCCAGAGGGGATTGAAAGGATATACTGTGGGGTCCAGGCGAGTGTCCATAGTGGTAGGAGTTTGAGACGGCTAGAAAGAGAAGAAAGAATGGCGGGCCCAAAGCCACAAGAGAGCTGTGAGACTAGGCATGCTACCACCAAGCAAAGTAGGTTGTTGACAAACTCCTTCAGGAGGAAGGAAAACGATAGAGGCGCTGGGGTCGGGGCAGAGACGTGCTTAGACACATGTCAAAGTCCTCGGAAGCGGAGAATGGAGGTAAGAAGGGATGGAGCGTGACGGTTGACCTCCAAGGGCCCATGGTGTAAAGCCGTGGTCTGTAAGACATTGGACCCACCTCGGAGGCAGCAGAGGAGCAACCTGCTCTGGGGAGGCCTGCAGGAAAATGGTGATTCCAGGAATAGTTCCAGAATTCTGACAAGAGGATGTCTCCAGAATTGAGGGAGCAGAGTTCATTGGTGTGGTCCTCACAAGAAGGTGGCCGAGAACTCAGCCAGAGCTACATTCAGCCTAGAGCATCACTCCTGGGCCTCTCTGAATCTCCAGTCTTGACGTTTTGCCCCTGCATCATCTACTCTCCACTGGACCCCACACATGTCTTCTCCATCTCGTTCGTCCCTCCATCTCTCCTTCTCACACGCATCCCTCCCTGGTTGTCCCCTCCCTGGACCCTTCCCCTGCCCTGCCCCACCCCAGCTGGCCTGAGTGAGCAGGAACCCCTGCACCTTCATTTCTCAGGTCACTGCTTGGCTAATGGGCTATTAATTTGCTCAATCGTCCCCTGTGAGGCAAACTCAATTTCTGCCAGCCAGTCGTCCCTCCCTGTCGACAGCGTGATTGATTGGAGGAACAGCTGTCACCGCCCGGCTGCCTGCTCCCTGCTTCCTTCCCTTCTAGTCCCACCACCCCTCCTCCTCGGGCCGCCGCCCTGCGCCCACAGAAGCAGTGCACCCCTGCCACCTGCCTAAGGATCTGTCGCCAGCAATGAAAAATGACAGAAATATTTAAGGACAAATAAGGTTTCCCAACGCAATTGAAAATGATTACAGGCAGCTACAGATGGGGCCAATCTGATGCGCAGCAGCAAATCAAATCGAATTTCCTTATCGGCGTATTATTTTAGGCGTTATCTGGCACGTTGATGCAGTTATCAATTCAATTTCAGCCGCCGGGCTGCTGTTTACCGACTCGCCTTTGCTGGGAAAAGGTAAACATGCTCAGCCCAGCAAATTAATTTCTAGCTGAAGCCAGAGGCAGCAAAGGATGGCTACCCAGGACCTATAGCCTCCACCTTGGCCCTGGGCTCTAGCAGGCTAGGCTAGAGCTTGCCCAAGGAATGGAAGCCCCACTAGCTGCCTGCCCCTGCCCTAAGCTGGATGCTGAGCTCCTAGGAGGCTGAGGTGACCGTTGTTGGCTCCTCTGCTGCTGCCAGGGAGAGGTGAAGGTCTCCCATTAATTCCCAGCTAAAAATGACAAATTCATCTTGGACGACAATTAAATGAAGTCAGTAATTGATGCTAATTGATCTCCAGATGCGAGGGCTCCCCTTAGCCTTAGCAGCGCGTGGCTGCCTTTTTTCCCTCCGTTACCCTGGCCTTCTCTTCCTCTACCTCCCTTCCCTGAGCTGAGTCCTTGCTTTCTCCCTAGGGCTCTGCCTCTTTTGACTGCACAGGTCTGTGGCCTGGGCTGGGCCAACAGGCAATGCCTGAGGCTAAGCATCTGGCCCCCTGTGGGACCAGACCCACAAGCACTTGTCATCATTGCCCCACACTCCACCCATCTGCCTAGAATGCAGGTAACACTGCTTCCCTCAACCATTCAGGATTTATAGCCTACAGCTGTGGAGGCTCCCATTTTATTTTTATAAGCCCATAGCCAGAGCCAACAGTGGGTAAAGCATACTTGAAGTTTTGTTTCTTGAAACAGTGCAGTCTTAGCATTTGGCTCTATGACAAGGAAGGCACTGGTCCGCATGCTGGGAAGAATGGTCAGGGATACTCAAGCTGCACTTGACTGTGTGTTTAGGCGCACACGTGTGTGTGTGTGTGTGTGTGTGTGTGTGTGTGTGTGAGAGAGAGAGAGAGAGAGAGAGAGAGAGAGAGAGAGAGAGAGAGAGAGAGAGAGAGCTCGCACTTGTCTGTCCAGACATCTGAGATGGTATGTGTGCATTGCTCATAGGTGGATGATTTCTTGAATCCTGCCTTTTACTGCAGTTTGTACAGCCTAGTCCCAGGGACCACTTGGGAGGTTCCACCTGCCCCGACCATCAATGGTCCATCTGAACACAGGAGTGGGGGAGTGAAGTGTAGTTCTACGAGGGAGAAGGGCTATCGTTATGATTTGAATAGCAGCGCAGTCAGGAGTGTGAAATAGATGTGGCCCTGGAAGCACCACCCCTGGCCCCAAAACAGATTAGCTGATAACTGATATACTTGGCTCCAGCAAACACTCATGGAAACAAGGCGTCAGGTTCCATGACAGGACTCAGGGAGTTTAATTGTGCCTTGGCCCTGAGCCTTTAGCTCCAGCTTGAGCCTAAATCTGAGCCTAAACCTTTCCACAGGCTGCCCTCCATCTGGCACCATGCAGATGTTTTGGCCACCCAGGAGTCTTGCCTGGCTCAGTGCACCTACCCTATACTGCTAGAGACAGTTACTAGCATCCGTCACAATAGGAGTCAGGACACCAGCCAGGCTCCTGTGCCTGGAACTCAAAGGAGACCACATAGAATGGGCAGTGAATGCCAATCGGAGCTTCTGCAGGCAGACAGGAGGAAGGAGGAAGATGGCAAGGGTATGGAGCTTGAATTGTGGTTCTTGTGTATTAGACTGAGGTAAGCACGCCACATGTGCAGAACCCCATGCTGTGCAGTGGTCTGTGCATGCCTTGTGGAAAGGACTAGGTAAGGAAGACCATGAATAAAAGATTGACCAGACTAGATGAGAGTAAGAGGAAGTCCCTTGTCTCCAGGGTAATGTCTGCATCTTTGGGGATTTGGCAAGGCCAGTAATCCTTTATTTGTTAGTTCGGGACTATGTAATGATTTCTACTCTCACTATTACTTTTATTTGGTGCTCTGCCCTCTGTTAGATGCTGAGGCTACAGCAGTGGACATGTTAGGTTTTGTTGCCCTCAAGGAAGTCACTCTGAAGATGGTAACACATAACAGGCCACAGCACAAGTGCTGTGAAAGTAGCAACACAAGAGGCTCCGGGAGCCCAGAAAAGGTGCCTGATGTGGCCTCGGGGAGTCAGAGACGTCTCCCCAGGAGACAGACTTCTAGGCTGAGTCCCAGGGATGAGTGAGAGATCGCTGGCTAGTGCAAAAGGCCCTTGCTACATCTTTTTGGTTATTTGGCAAGCCCAAAACAGAGACAAATAGGCTTATTTGTTTCCAAGTGACACTGGGACAGCTGAAAATGTCACCTCTGTCCTTTGAGTGCCAGCTGCTATCCTGGGGTCTGGGTAAGTGGGTGCACAGCTGTTTTCAGGGCACCCTTGGGCACCTGCAGATAAGTATGGGCCACAGCTAAATACACATCTCTCGATGCCTGCCCTACCCCCACCTCCTCGACCAGGGATGCCTATTAATCCTGACAAATGATGACTTACGAACATGTAATGCAAACTGATTCATCATACATTCAAATCCGCCGCCCCGCCCCAGCGGGAGGCCCCAGCCAGACAAGTGTATTACACGGATAATGTATTTGACGTATTAATAAAACCAGCCGCATTGCTCTGGCGCGGGGACTGGGGAATGCCAATATACGATGACAGATCACATATTGATGAAATCCAGATGTTTGGAATCATAGTCTTGGGGCCTTGTTCATATTGACTGAAGGTAAAAAATGCCGTCTGTCAGCACATTAACTCTTCCTGTCCCGTGCTCAGAAGAGGCACCAATCAAAGTGTTTCTAGAGAGAAGAGAAGGAGGAAGGGGTGAGTCAGAGGAGCAGAGGGGACCAGTTATTAGGTGCCTTGGGTTCATGATGGATGGATGGATGAAGGAGATGGTGTGCTCTGGATAGGATGAATGGTTGGGACGCTTTGTGGCTTGACCTCTCAACACATTCCACTGCATGGATGACACCCCCTGCTCTGTAGAACTTCATTTCACACTCTTGTTTTCATTCTTCCTCTTCAGCATTCCTTCTAAGATCTTGATGCCTCAAATGTCTTTCATTTGTTAGAGTAAGTCGAGGTTCTCTTCTGGACTCCCTGTGGTGTGTTCTTTGCCTGGAGGATCTCGATACCCTTCATTATTTCATGTGATAAGTGTTTCTTGACCGCTTACCCTAGGCCAGACCTTGTTCTAGGCACAGAGTCTACAGTGATGAGCTTCTGCTCTTGTTTGTGTGTCAGCATCTGCCAGGACCACCACTCAGCATTTTCACAGTTCCTCAAACCAAATACATCCCAAACTGAACTCATTGCTCTCCCCACAAAGCCCGATGTATAAATCAATAGACAGGTATATGAGTGTCGACGAACAGAAGAAATTCCACAGAGGCCTGAAGGGCGAGGGCCAGCCATCTCCTGAAGGGAAATGGATCACAGTCACAGTGGGAAGACAGGTCATGGCCTGATGCAGGTAGATGCAGACACCAACAACAAGCCTGTGCTAGTGTCCTACTAGAAAGATAATGACTCCCACTTGTACACAGATGATTTCATTACATCTTCACAAGAGTCTTAAGAGTTAGATATTATGCCCCATTTCACACATGGAGAAACTAAGTTCAGAATGATCAAGTGATTTGCCCAAGTTCAACACAGCTAATAAGAAGAAACTCTTTAGAATTTTGCTTGTTCTAGTCTGTGTCTCGGTCACTAGGAAATGGACACCCTTTTCGGGGGATGGAGTGGGGAGAGGAAAGGCAGGCCTGAGTACATAAAGGTCCCAGTCTCCAGCTGGGGTGTGGCTCGGTTGGTTGAGTGCTTGTCAAGCTTGCCCAAAGCCCCAGGTTTGATTCCCCAGCACTATATAAATTGAGTGCTTTAGTATTTGTCTGTGATCCCAGCATTCAGGTAATGGAGGTAAGTGGGATCAGAAGTTCAAGGTCTTCCTCCACCTGCAATGAGTTTGAAGTTAGCCTGGGCTACAAGAGACCCTGCCTCATTGCCATCTGTCATTAGAATTACCCTTGCCCTCATCTAATGTTCCCTGTCCTAGGCAGGCAATCTGTACTTTTTTTTAAGACAAGATCTCACACTGTAGCCCAGGCTGGCCAATCCTCCTGCCTCAGCTTTATGTTAGAAGTCTGGCCAACCACTCCCTGTCAAGCCAAGCCTTTCATGGTCTGCAGAGGAAAGTTGGAAATTGCTGCTTGGACAAATAGAGAGGGAGAATGGAACCCCTCAGCTACAGAACTGGAAAAAACCAAACAGGCCAACCAAAGGGACAACAAGGTTAACGACTCAGTGCCAGCTCCATGAGCCTGCAGGCCTCACCAGCCCTCCCCGTGGAAGATGGAGAAGGAACCCCAATGCTGGCTGTTTGCAATTGGGTCAGGAATTCCCAACAGAGGAGGGCAGCAGAGGGCTGATCTGGCCCCCACCCACTTAACTTGACTCTAGGCTAGAGGAACCGGCCACAGTTACTGCCCTGGTTTAACCTCCTCTCTCAATCTAATCAACACCCTTCTTAGGAACTTCCATTGCAGTCTTTCTGCTGTCTGGGAGTGGAGTTAGCCCAGCCACTTAGCAAGGGATAGGACCCTTCTGGCAGTCACACAACTAGGGAGCATCCAAAGTGGGACCCGACTGACTTTGCCCAGTGTAAGGCTGAGGTCAGAAGGCTCTAGCTTCCCTGCTTGGAAGATACCCATGGCAAGCAGAGACGCGGAGGTGGCAGCCCCTACTGTGGAGGGGTGTTGGGGAGAGAGGCAGTAATGAATGTGGACGGGAGGCGGAATGAGCGATCCATCTTTGCATGGGAGGAGAGGGGGCGGCGGACGTCCCCCCCACACACACTCACACACTCAATCAGGCGCTGTCAGACCTCCGGCCGCCTGGCATTTTGGTGAAGAATCTCTCAGCTAAAAATTGTTGTCAGTCCCATTTCCTCGTTATCAGTGCTAGGGCTGAGGCAGCGCCCGGGGATTAGCAGAAGCGGAGAGCGTTCGCGCCCGCCATCCGCTGCCGATAACATTGGGCCTCGCGCCTCACCTCCCCCATTCATCATCTTTAGCAGTGACAGCTCAGCCCAGTCCCTGTCCCCAATCCCCGGTGTTCACCGCGCCTCCCCACTGTGCGCAGTCTTGACCTCCCAGGAAGCTAGGCCTTGTAAAAGAGCGCTAGGATTCAAACAGGACTGGAAACCTAGACCCACCTGTGGCGAAAGGCCGCCTTGCCTGACTATTGGGAGGATCTGTCAAGGGCTGGAGTGAGGGCTATTCAAGGAGCCAGCGTCCCCCGACGGGCTGCCGCTGGTGGCTCCTGCCACCTACCTGTGCTACTGCCTGCAGTGTTGGAGAAGGGAGCCTTGTGTCAGAAGAACAGGCTCTGAAGGGGTTCCTCACCTCTCACTAGCCTGAATGGACTCCCAGATTATAGGAACCTTGGGAAGGAAGAGCCAGAGGATGACTCCATTTGAGCCTAGGACAGGTGGGGGTGGAGGGTGATGAAGACTTCATTCCCACCCCAGCAAGACCATAGGCCCCTCCTCTTGCCCATCCCCAGTGGTTTTATGGCCCATTTTATGGCCACTGTAATGGCCCAGGTCAAAAGCTTCAGGGAGCTGTATTCTGGGAATTATGCAAACGAGGAGCAGGCCCAGGGCCAGAGTATGGATTTTGTCATTAAACCTGGGCAGGCCATGTCGTTAGTGCAGTAAAATCCACGTCATGACCACAGGTCTCAATATAAAATTATAGGGAACACAGCGGGGGAGGGGAAGCAAGGAGGCGGTGCATGGCCGTGCTGACACCTGCCACTCCGACCTCTGAGAAATGAAGGTGAGATCGAGGGCACATGCTGCAGGTTCACCCCAGAGGTGTTAACCCCAGCTCGGTCCTGCTAGGCTTGTCCCAAAGCTGGGAGCCCAGAAAAGGGTCCGACGCCCCCAGCAAGGAAACTAAGGCCAGGCTGAGAAAAGCACGCGTCAGCAAGGCAAGCGTGTGAGAACACTGAGCCCCAGATGCAGAGCAGGATCTAGACCCTAGAAAACTCAAGAAGCGAATCTGGTATCCTAGCACCCAGGACATGTCTACACCACATGTCCTAGATCCTCCCTCTCGGGCCTGTTCTGCCAGTGATCTGTTGAACAACCTGGTTACCTTACTCCATCTTGTACTTCCCACTGGACACCCATCCCCTTTCCTGTGCATCCTCCAGCCCTGGGTTTTGGTTTTTTGTTTTTTTTTTTCTGTTTTTTGGGTTTTGGTTTTCCAAGACAGGGTTTCTTGGTGTAAAAGCACTAGCTGTCTTGGACCTAGCTCTGTAGACTAGGCTGGCCTCAAACTCACAGAGATCCGCCTGCCTCTGCTTCCCAAGTGCTGGGATTAAAGGCGTGCGCCACCACCGCCCGGCCCTCCAGCCCTCTTAAAGCGTCCTCATTGCTCCTGCCCTCCTACTAGCTCTTATCCACACTACCTAGCTTTCTCTACTGGCTTTACCACTAACTTGTGAGCTCTTAAAAATCAAGACTGTGTTTTACTTATCTCTGAGTTCCAGTTTTCCTTAGAATAATACTGAAATCTAATAGTCAGTTTATAAATGTTGAATAAATAAATGAAGCCTTGAGACCAAAATCCAAGCTCAAAGTCCCTATTCAATTCTGAGCTTCAGTTTCCCCATCTGTAGAAGATAGTAGACTGGAGAATTCCTAGGGCCTCACCCACCTCTGAGGTTGCCCAAGAGCAGAACTGAGACCAGAGCAGGGTTATATCTGCTGCTTTTACTCAACACTGCCTTCCAGCACATCACGTCACTGGAGGAACAGCTACCAAGGCGCACAGTGGGTTTACAAATGGTGGAACTACTTCCTGCCCTTAAAGACCTAACCACACAGCCTGGAGCCCCTCCTACCCAATCTCAACACACTGGTAGCTTTCACAGCTGATATAGCCCTGCTCAGTGAAGGCTATGATGTTTCACATATATGGCTTTAGTTAAGGCTTTTTGTTTCCCACTCCCCAGAAAACACACACACACACACACACACACACACACACACACACACACACTGAATTGCTCTGTCCTTAGAGCCTGAAGATGACTCAATTCAGATATCCAGAAAGCTGTAATCCTCCTTAGTCTGTGTCAAAGGGAAGTAGGTACTTTCTCATGCTCAGCCTGACCCAGGGTGGGTGGGTGGGGTGTCCCTCAGGCGTAGTGTTGCTAGATTTAGCAAATAAAAATGTAAGACATCCAGGTAAACTTAATTTTGGGGAAAAAAATCAGTGATATCTAGTATCAATGTGTCCCTTGCGATATTTGAGACATAATTACACTTTTACCAATAACTCATTGTATATCTAGAATAAAGTTTCTCTGGGCCTTCCCTATTTAATTTGGCAACCCTACTCACCTGTGTACCCTAGTCTTTATCCATCTGAAAGTGACTGTGACCTTATCCAGGTACCAGAGGGAAGAGCAAGGTAGAACATAGAGACTCAAGCTAAGGAAGTCTCTGCATCAGGGACTGGGGTGTGGTTTATTGGAAGAGCACTTGCCTAGTGTATACAAGCTCTGGCTCTGGCTCTAGTACTACACACTATTGTTTTCCTGCAGTCGTGGCCTCCCTTACCAGTCAAAGCTAGCACTATTTCTGAATGGTTTCTCAACACCACACCTGTAAGCAAACTGGGAAGCCCTGGCGAAAAGAAGGGACTCTAAAGCAAGCCAGAGGATCCTGCCTAGAATGGTTTGTTCTGGTCACTATAAGTGCCAGACAGGAGATAGAGTTCCAGCT